CTGCGGATGAGATTCGTGAGGAGATGGCTCAGATGAGTACCAAGTTGGGGTTGGTATTGAAGCATGGGAGCGGAGGTGCGGAAAAGGTAAATGCTGTGAACTATTTGACTAGAACTCCACCACCTGTTGAAGAGTGTTGCTATGAAGAGGATGCTTATGCGGTGAATGATCATACGGGGGGCTTCCGACCAAACGCCCAAAAATCCAACATGGAAAATTGGCCCCAAGGTCAAGGAAACCAAGGTCGGAACTATGGCAATTACAACCAAGAGGGTCAATATGTTCGGGATGGGAACTTCAATCGCGACAACAACTACAACCGGAACAACTATGGCAACATAAACGATCGGGTTGGACCTTATGTTCCCCCTCAAAATCGAGAATCTGGTACCAAGGAAGCTGTAGGAAATATGGCGCATATTAAAGATATGATGCAAAATATGATGAGATGGTTTGATGCAACTAATGAGAATGTGAAGGAGATGAGAAACGACTTATCTGGTATTGGTCAAAAAGTTGATGCCCATGCAGTGTCAATAAAACATCTAGAGCAGCAGATGACTCAGTTGTCTACTACAGTGAACCCACGTCAACCTGGCACTCTTACTAGCAACACCATCCAGAATGAATGATGGTCATTGTATGGCAGTTACTACTCGAGGAGGTAAGCAAACCATTGATCCACCTATGCCATCTGTGGTGGATGTTGAGATTAGAAAAGAAGATGATGTGGTAGAGGTTAGAGGAGAGTCTGAGAATGCGACAGAGAAAGAAGCAGAGATATCTCAGAAAGTGGTCTCCATACCTAGACCACTACCACCTTTTCCACAAAGGTTAGAGAAAAAGATTGAAATTGGTAAATATCGCAGGTTTATTACTATGTTGAAGCAGCTTTCCATCAACGTTCCATTGATAAAAGTCTTGGAGCTAATGCCTGGGTATGCGAAGTTTATGAAAGATATGGTGACAAAGAAAAGGTCTGTGAGTTTTGAAGATGATGATAAATTGCAGTATTGTAGCGCTATCGCTACAAGGGCTCTTATGCAGAAGAAGGAAGATCCTGTTGCTTTCACGATTCCATGTACTATAGGGTTGTTACACTTTGCTAAGGCATTGTGTTATCTTGGTGCTAGCATCAACCTCATGCCATTGTCTATTTATAAGAAATTGGGTCTAGGGGATCCAAAGCCTACTACGATGCGGTTACTTATGGCCGATCGAAGCATAAAAAAGGCCCATTGGTGTACTCCATGATGTGTTAGTGAAAGTGGAGTAGTTCATCTTTTCGGCGGATTTTGTGATTCCTGACTGTGAGGTTGATTTTGAGGTTCCCATCATTCTTGGGAGACCATTCCTTGCCACATGTCGTGCGTTGGTTGATTTGGAGAAGGGGAAAATGAAGTTTAGACTGAACAATGAAGAAACAACTCTCAATATTTGTAGGTTCATGAAGTAGAGTGGTGAGCTCCAAACGGTATCTGCTATAACTTACAGAGTTGAGAGTGGAGTAGAAGTGCAAATTAAAGAGCGACTGGGTATTGAGGCACTAGCAACAGTTATGATGAATTTCTATAGTGATGGTATTGAAGAGTACGATGAGTTGGTAGCTGCACTCGATAGGTGCGAATATCGGTCAAAACCAAAGAAGTAT